GTTAACTGTTATCAAAGTTTTTAAATTACTCACTATTTTATACGAATAAATGTTTGAAAAGTCAATGTGACACTTCGGACTCGTATCTGGGTCGGATACGGGTTGGGGGTGTTACATATTCTGGGTAAGGTCAAGGTCCTTGTTTTAAAACATGTTACTTTGTCAAAGATCCGTAACTTTGAACCATTCATAGAGTTTCTTAATTCAAATGATATTCAAAGAATTGCAAGTTTGCAAATGTGATTCATTGCTCGTCATCATTAAAATAACATAAATGTTCTTACAAAACTTGAAAAAGTGAGAAAAAAACAATTTCAAACAGAATGCCTCAAATGATGAAATGATCTTCCTCACTTGGATGCCCCCAAGTTGTTGAAGTCAATCCAGTTCTGGTTACGCATCTTCTGTACGACTCTCTTGAATGCGTAACAGTTCTCAATTGTGTGCCCTGGGACACCGCCGTGATATTCACAATGTGCATCCTCATCATACCACTTGGGGTATGGGGGCTTCATGGGTTCCACCGGATATGGTGACACTACGTGGGTGTCAAGAAGTTGCTGATAGAGTTCCTTGTATATCATCGGAATAGGGTCGATATGTTCCCTTTCCTTTCTGGGTTCTCTCTGAGATTGGTTAGAAGTACTAGATGGTACAGCTGCAGTTGTTTTTGAGATCGTAACACCTTTGCTAGCGTTGTGGGTGTTGACATTATTGATCTCGCGGTCCTTGTTCTTCACGGGAGGCTTTCTACTAGAGTCACCTCCTTCAATCTTTCCTTGTTTTATGGCCAGTTCAACCATCTCACCGGCCATAACTAAATTTGGGAAACTTCCCGACGTGATTGCTACCAAATACTCGAAGTAAGGTGCCTTCAGGGTTTGTATAAACAACTTTCTAGTTTTATTTTCATCTAAAGGTGGATGAATTTGCACAGCCAAGTTCCTCCATTTTTTTGCGTACTGCCTGAAACTTTCGTTATGCTTATTTTCCATACTTTGTAGCATAACTCGATTTGGCCTTATGTCGTTGACATGTTTATATTGTTCCAAGAATGACTTAGCCAGGTCCTTCCAGGTCTTGATATTTGATCGGCTTAGCTGGTTGTACCACCGAATGGCTGAGCCCGACAGGCTCTCCTGGAAGCAGTGAATCAGGAGGTGGTCGTTTCCTCCATATCCTGTCATCTTTCGGCAGAACATGGTGATATGAGCGGATGGACAACTGTTCCCGTCAAACTTCTTGAATTCCGGGGACTTAAATTTCGGAGGAAGAACCAAGTCTGGGACTAGACTGAGTTCCGCGACATCGATTTCATGGTAGTCATGGTCTCCTTTGACTACCTTTATTTGGTCCTCCAATTGTTTGATTTTTTCCTCCATCTTTCTCGCTTTGTCCTCTTCATCCAAATCTGGTACATGGTAATAACCCGGATTATTCTTAGAGTTAAATACAAAGGACGAGGGCTTTGCTTTTGCAGCAGATGAGTCCCCTCGAAGTTCTGGTAAGATTTCAGGTAAGATAACCACTTGCGGGGTAGGTTGTATAGTTACCCCTTCCGGTGAACCTGCCCCAGGTGCACTGGTCTGTTGTAGGCCAACTAACTTGGCAATGATCTGATCAACCAAGGACTCTTGGTTCTTTGTGATTGTTTCTAGAGTACTTCGACTATTTTGGTTTATCTTGTCTTCTAGCTCTTTCTGTAGTTTCAACATATTCTCCTCGATTTGTGTAATTCTGGCTTCCATCCTCTTCTTCTTCAAACGAGTGTTATGAGGATGGGGTGTGTCCAATGCTTGAGGCGGTGTATCCAGTATTTTCTCCCTTTGATGAGACATGTTTATGTTAGTTAATGTGAATGCAAAGAAAATAACAAAATGCAAAGAAAATAAAAAATGCAAAATGTCTAAATATATGATGCATGAAATGTCCGAGGCATTGATCCAAAAAATGTGCCTGTTATTCTGAATAACCCTTATTGGTGACAAAAGTGTTACGTCTGAAGAGACAAAAAACTTTTTTTTATGGTACAAATCTTGCACAGCTTCTGACAAGTTGATTCGTCTTTTTCACTGGTTGAATATCCTGTCGAACCATTCCGGCTCCTTTGGCTAAACTTGTGCAGGTGATGGGCTGCTTGCCCCAAAAGGGGTCTCGAAAGACTAAATCTCTGACTTTCACTCTATGTTGAGCTTGATCCAAACGAAAGTGCCATTGGAGCCCTCTATCTGAAGTTTATCGACTTGTTTCTAGAATTCGTCAATAATGGTCTGCAACTTAGCTGGGGTTTCGCCACTTGTTATCGTAGTTTTCAAAATGACCGTTTGGGTCAGCAACATTTTCCTCGTCTTGCCCCTGCAACCTTTGCCTCTGAGTATTCTTTGACCACGGCTGGACTTCTGAGCTTTTTATCTCTTTGTATTATAACCCCTTTTTCCATTAATGCATATTATTCATGTTTAACAAACACATTTTTGGTGGATCAACACATCATTTTAAATGATGCAAACGATGAACAAAAAATAAAAGAGAACAAAAAAAATAAAAGGGTTAGTGAGGTAAATCAAAAAAAAATGAAAAATCCTACCCCACATGATATCTACCATGCATGCTTTAATTCCTACCTGAACATGATCTCTATCCCGCATGCTAATTTCAAACAAATCCTAACCGCATATTTGTCTGGTTCGCATGCTTTGAACAGAAAATAAAGCAGGAAACAAAGCAGTATAGGGTTTGGAATGAGGTTTTGGTATGGGCTCTAATTCCCTATACTCTCTCGGTTTAGGTTCTAAAAAAGGTACTCGAGTTCTCCTTGCCGGTGCCCCATTGGGCTTGCCTGACCCTTAGTCCTAAGCCCATTACAAGCTTGCGTGGACTAAGTTAAACTCGAGAGGACACATTCCCTTATGTCTGTGCGGTGAATAAATTCACACGAAGACGTAAGGTATATGAATCCCGAAGGCTACTTGCTAGGCATATGCGGTGAATAAATTCACACGAATGTGTCGCTTTCACCCCACTTAAAACGGGTTCGGAGCTCGGGTTTAGAGCTTAGAGATGACAATTTTGAAAAAAATATGAAATCATTAAAAAACGTCAGTACAACTATTTATTTGAAAAATAATCAAAGGTAAATAATTAGAATCAAATAAACAAATTAAAATTTAAACTTGTAATTTTCGCTAAAAAAGACAACCGGAAATTAATTTCGACCTATCCCCAGCAGAGTCGTCAAGCTGTCGGAACCGTCTTTCGGTTGGGCCCGGAATTGGGCTTCGACTTGAAATGATTGAGTTAGGAGTCGCCACCGATCATTTTTAAACGATATTTAGGTAGATCGGACACCATTTTACCTGATCTGCGTTTTACCAGAAATATGTCGGGCTCGGGAGTCAGTTACGGTCAAGTAAGGATTAACACCCTTGAACAACCCTTTCGATACCAATTAATTTGCCGGTTGTCTTTATTTGTGAAAATTTGAAATTAAAATTAAAATTTAAAAACCCGATTCAAATTACTTACCTTTGATCGAAAAAATTCCACTGAAAATGCCAAAATGTTAGATGATAAAATAAAAATAAATACGAGGGAAGAAAAATTCTAAGATAAAATAGGTAACAGAGAAAATTAAAAGTTAGTAAAAAAGAAAATAAACAAAAACAATAAAAATAATTAAAATAATAAAAGAAAGTCAAATGAATAAAATAAAAAAAGACAAAATGGTTAGTTTTTAATAAAAATAAGAATAAAATAATAAGTAAAATAAATAAAAATATATTCAAACTAAAACCGTGAAAGAAAAATAATAATAAATAAAACTGAAATGACAAAATTAAAATAAAAGTAAAATAGAGGGTCAAAATTAAAACAAGTGCAACTAGTGACCATAAGGTGAAAACTCAGCTAAACTAGGAGGACTTAGGGATGATTTGACCCTAAATTTAATGGCTTAAACGTAACACTAGGAAAGAAAGGGGATCTAAATAGGATTAAACCAAAATTAGCGACACAAAAAGCTGTGAAATAAGGAGTTAACATGTGGTTTACCCAAAACCTAAAATAAACAACCCAACCTTATCACTCTAGTACACGTGCAAAGCTTAAAAAATGCCTCCCCTCTTCCTTTTCTCTCTATTTTTCTTTTAATCTCTCCTTCTTCTTAACCGGCCGACTCCACACCCAACAGCAACAGAGGTAAAGGTAAACTATAAATCCCTAATTTTTTGTTTTGTTTATTATTATTATTATTATTATTATTTAAAACCTCGAATTAGCATACAATGAACAACGAAGAACTAAAACATAAAATAGATCATATTTCTCATTTGCATTCCAAAAATTTAATCGACTAAACCAAGAAATAAAAACGAGAAAGTACCTCCCTTTTGAAATAATTTTCGGATCTTTTTATTGCTAATTGCTGATAATCCCCCTTCTTGAAAAAAATACAAATGTTTCTCACTATTTTCTCTGGGATTTTCGTGTGATTTCTTTTGAGCTTTTTTCATCTAGTAATCGTCTGATATCGTCCGTGCTTATGTGTTCGATTACATGTAATTTATAGGGTTTACAAAACCTTATTTTTGGGTGTTTAAGTCCTAATAAAACACTAAGTTTGTTGTTGGTGATGAACGTTGTCGAGAAATCCGGGAATGAAGTTGAGAGACGTGCGGCTGAAGGGGAGAACGACGTTGCTGGGTAGTTGATCATTGTTGGGCCACCTGGGCTGCTGGATATTGTTTATTTTTGGGTGGTAGCTCTTGTAGAAAATCTGGGCCTGTAACATGTAGTACAAAATAAATGAAAAATAATATTAGACAAAATTTAGTGTCTTCAATAGTACATATTGTAAATCGTGCGTCCAGTTTTTTTTCTCCCATTAATTAAGTTTAAAAATAGATTTAGCGTGTTTAAAAGATGTGTAAGTGGACACAAACCTAATAATCTCAACAGTTAAGGATTTGTTGTTATCTTTTTAGGTTTCGGGTTTAAATATATTTGAGGGTAGCTAAAAGTGGCACATCAGCTATGGAACTTGACCATGATTCATCATCAGAAGATGAATCGGCCCAAGTTTCATCGAAAAAATCCGGCACTCAACCTATGCCGATCCCGAGATCCGTTAGTCTTGAACCTGCATTGATGCAAGACTTTTTTTTTTTAATGTAACCTGATAGCTGAATTGGTTCATTTTCCAGGCTGCAAGTTATGGTACATTCCTGGCTGCCTCAATCAGCTTACCCTTAGGAAGTAAGGCATGGATGGAAGCAGGAACTGGCTTTATCTGTCGACGACTATTACAAGTATTGTTACTGATAATTCTAACTCAGATTCGAAAAAAATCGGCCCATGTAACTGCATATTACTTAAACCATTAGTCTCCATTGCAGGAACACGGCATGGAGCATAGTGCCCTGGGGCAGTGGCTGGGATGGCTAATGGCTGCCGTATACATGGGCGGTCGAATCCCTCAGATATGGCTAAATGTAAGCATTGATCTGAAATAGGAAACCATGGATTTCTTTCTCATTGTAATTGTTTTGGTTCCTTAACAAATAATTTTCTTTTCTTGACTAGATCAAAAGAGGCAGTGTGGAGGTAATTCTCTGAACTAAACCTATGTATGTATTAGAATATGAAGATTGAATTTGCCTAAACCTGTGGAAATCATATAGGGTTTGAATCCTCTCATGTTCATCTTTGCACTGATAGCCAATGCTGCCTATGTGGCAAGGTCAGCATTGTCTCAGACGATCTATTTCACTCACCGTTTAAAAAACAAGAATGTCGAACCGGTGGTCTCACAGTTTCGACATCAAGTCCGGTTCTTCGAACATTGATTTTTACATTTTTACGTACTCTGATCTATAATCATGTCAAGCTTCACTTTGAATGTTTCCACAGCATTCTAGTGAGAAGCAGCGAATGGGAAAACATCAAGCCTAACATGCCATGGTTGCTGGATGCTGCAGTTTGTGTGGCACTCGACTTATTTGTATCCTTTTTGTTGATTCTCTTACAACAGTTGGAAGATTTTATTACAGTTTCTGCTCACACGAACATGAAACCTTAACATTGTTTATAACAGATCATATCACAGTATATATATTATAAATATTTCAGAGAGACAGTTAACATTGATGGAGATTACATGGAAGAAAGCAAAGAAGCAGAGTAGAAGGGTGAAAGTTTAGACGATAACTTCCTGTTCGCTTCTGTTTCTGTAGGTTTCAATCGGCAAACTGAACTTTTATTCTTATTAGCTGAACCGATTTCTTCCTCCTCTCTTTTCCCTTTTTTTTCTTGTTTACAAATTGTGTCAATTTTATTTATCAATTCAACTTTTTATTCTTTAATTTTATTTAACCAGCGGCGTCATCGATTTTAATGTTGGTTGCCGTCCGTCGATTATCTTTTTTTTCTTTGTTTATTTATTATTTTAATAAAAATAATTATTTCTTTGTGACATATTCTTTACTTTTATGACACGTTATCTCTGTCTTTGTGGCATGTTTTCTTCTACTTTTTGATAGTTTACGGTTTTTTGCCGTTATTTTTGTTTATATTTTTTTTCAAGGTTGGATTTGAAATCTCTACGACTAATCAATACGGCGCTTATTTGTTATTATGATAATCTTTTCAACTTTGGACCCTCAGATTGATTTGGATACGCATTTTACGTTCATAAATAATTTTGTCACGTCGCTTGACTCTAATTTGCGATTTGTCGGTGGTCTTTCAGTAGCTTCATCCTCTTTTGTGGTTCGTTTATCGATACAGTCAAATTTATTCGTATCTTTATTTTATTTAAGTTTTTTGTTAGATTTTTTTCAACATTTTCTTTCTTTGGTCTTTATGTGATCTAGGTAGCTAGTTTTTGTCTTAATGGTAATAAGAAAATGTCATAATTATATTTTAGATTTACGGTTTTGCTTATAAATCTTCATTGTAATTTTAGATATTTTCTATTTTTAATAAAACTAACGATTTTCTATCAAAAGAAATATCTAAACCATTACTTTTGTTCCATTTTAATACTTAAAATCTTACCTAAAATTTAGTTTATATTTCATTTTGATACCCATCATTAAAAACTCAACAAAATTACTGATGTGGCATATATTATATTTTTCAACGATAATGTAATATTGTCTTATAATGACACATCAACATCATTGTTAAGTTTTTAACAACGATACTAAAATAAAACATAAATTAAATGTTAGATGTGGTTAGAAAATGAAATCTAGATGCCAAAATAGAATGAAATAATAATTTAAGTGCTAAACATGTAATTTATCCGTTATTATAAATTAATCTTTATATTATATAGATTAAATAATATATGCAAATATAATATATAAAAATATAAGAAACCGGATAAAATCAAACTCAAGTCTTAAAAATTTAAATCTAAATTTAACCTATATTTTAAATAGGCCAATTTATTTTATCTAAATCCACATCTTGAATCTAATATTTTTACCAAATCTTCCCAAATTTCGAATATTACTTGGAACGTCAGCAAATAGCCCAACCCTTTCACATGGATACCGGAATGTTCATACAGGATTCAGGTAAAATAAGTCGAACTTTTATTCAATTTTAATGGTTTTAAATTTTCAAATCCCAATTCATTACTTGGTGCGTGCATGAACTTTTTGGATCCACTGTTTTACCGATATATATATATATATATATATATATGTATATAGATAGATATATCTGAAGTCAGATACAAGTTTAAGAAACAACTGTAGCTTTGAATGAATCTAACAAGAACTTATGAACCCAAATGGTGTTTCAGAGAAGATGAAAGCCATCAAATGTCCATAAAAATATGGTAATTGCAAATACATTGCAGACCTAGAAAAGTACCAACATCGGAACAGTTTTCCACTCCGTTATTGGACAAGATTTTCATGCTCTCGAGTAGAATAGGATATGCCGAATCACTTCTTCACCGACGACAATGGTACGCCGAACAAGCAATCACAATGTCTCCATGTCTCAGGGGGGAATGGAAAACTTAAACTAGATTTTTATTTTTGAAAAGAGGAAATGACACTGGTTTGAGTTGTTTTTGAAGCCAAAAACGTAATCTACAGTGATGTTGCTATATTTACAGATACTAAATAACCACCACTGGCCAAAGGATTGAAACTATTTTCACCAATAAAGCAGAGCAAGCAAGACAAAGAAACCAATCAACAAAAGAAGATTTTTCAATACATTATCTGCCTGCTGCCCTCCAGTCGTCGGTGGGGGGAACCCATGAGCATGAGCATGTCCACCATGAAACGTATGGAATCCATAAGGAAATCCTGAAGGTGTTCCATACACAGCAGGATCTGGATATCCATGAAACTGAATATTGAACAAGGATGGCAATAAGCCTCCAAAACCCATTGTGAAGTTACCGATCCTTGCAGTTGCCATCGGAACAAAACCTCCCATTAGTCCAAACCCGTAATTCACAAACTGGTTTGTTTCCGGGGGTGGAGGAGAAGCAGTTGCTGGTCTTTGTCCTGCTGGGCGGTTAGGAATTTCCATGCCTAGGTACGATTTAGAGCGGGGGTCGGTCTGGTTTTTGCCCCTGCCATAAAGGGGAACAAGTTTTTCCTCTTGTATGAGGGCCTTGCAGACGGGGCATTCTTGACAATGAGAGTGATGGTGCAACCACCGGTATAGACATGGCCAGCAGAAGAGATGGCCACAAAGTGTGACAATTGGATCTTGGGCCAATTCAAAGCAGATATTGCATTCGAAGTCACCGGCATCATTAGCAGTACAACCACTCGAGCAAGATTGACTTGCGGGAGGCATGCTTGTCGATTCCCCAAAACCACTCGCCATTGCTTATTATATACCTAAACCAGTAGATCAAAATATCATGAGGAAAATGCACGAAAAGGCAAAAAAAATTCTAGAAATTCAAGTTATGGAATGAATAAAGAAAAAAAATTCACCACTTTCAGTCAATCACAGCAAATCCAGATCCCAATTTTTGAAGAATATAACCACAAACCTGATAGAACTCTAAAAAACAAATCTTTCGAATTCATCAAATTATCCCATAAATGATACAAATCATTAACATATATCAACAGTTTATTAGATCTAGGTTAAAAAAACGAAATCCCTAATCTATAATCAGAATATTAATGGAATTTTAAAAAACCCAATAAAAAATCAACAAACACGATCGCATCTGCATTCATCACAGAGTATAATCTAACAAAAGTATAAATTAAAAGAAAAACGTAAAAGATCTAAGAATTAGGTAAAAGGAACTAACCTGAGAATCCAAAGAATTGATTGATAGAGTCAAGGGACAAGTTTCTTAAATGGGTGTAAGGTAGTTTCGGGAAGATTCGAGGTTACTCCAAAATTTCCGTGTTGTTTATTCCAAGTCTAAGCCAATTTAGAGAGGGAATGGAAGATTCTTTATATACTATACAACTTTAACAGAATGACAAAGAAAAACAGTGGGGTCCCATTGTATTTCACAGAAATTCTCAGACGGATTTAATTATTTTATAATTTTTAAATAAAATTATTGAAAACTATTATATTGAGGATATAACATAATTTCAACCAATTCATCTATAATCACTTAATAAATATCTTTTTTTATATAAAAAACTTTCATTCATAAATATAACATGATATATTGTTAGTAAATTTTTTTAAAAAAAAATGTTAAAAATTACTCAAATATTTTAGATATAATTATTTAATCTTAATAAAATCAATATTTAATATAAATTTGTAATTCGAGTTTCTTCACCAATTGGTTTCGACCTCCCTTTTCCCAACTTGAGCCGAAATTCATGACCCGGTCCAAAGAGAAGTTTGGTTGAAACCATCCAAGCCGAAGCGGAAACCCAGATCTAAACACTGGACACAATCAGGGAAGATGTGAAATCGAACCCAAATTAGATTGACGGAACAATGTAATTGATATATATGATCACGTCCAGATCTACTCACTCGTAGAGGTGGAACTTCATTAACTCTAATTGAACATAAAGTTAATACAACGTAAACACAGCAAAACATACGTCATTGCTAGATTTCTAAATGGCCGGAACCAGTTGATGAACTACCAGAATCTTTCATCATCTTCTTCAAAACCACTGTCCTTGCCATCCTAATATTACGGCTACATGTATCGGCCTGTTGACCCAATTCCTCGATGGTCGTCATAAATGCTTCCAACTTTCTCTTGATCTCATTGATCGCGAGCTTCAGTGCATCTTCTTCTGCAAGTGCAAAACCGGCATCATGCAATAGTGATTCCATCTCAATTTCCAGCTTCCTGATAAGCACTCTTATGTTTTCCAAGTCATGGATTGTGAAGTGAGAACGACTCCACATTTCGTTTATTAACTCCTTCTGCCCTTTCAGATCGTTCTCGTATCGCTTCCAAAGCCAATTGCACCATTTACCGACCGAACCGATAGGTGCCAGGGCAGCTGCCAAAGCTGCTACAACGGGCGGTGCAGCTATGGCTGCTGCCACCACAGAGAAGATCACAACCGAAACGAAAGTGGCTACGAACAACACATTGGACACTCTCCTCCATGTTTTCAAAGATTTCAACTTCTTATCGAGCTTTCTCTTCCGAGCTAGTAATTTATGCAGCAATAACTCCTGCTGCCTACGAACTGAATCGAACAGTATAAAGAACTCATTAGTGAATGGCACCTCTGCTGCTTTAAATTTCCCTAGTTCCTCCAAAGTCTTCACAAATTTCCTCTCACCATCCCCAACTTGTAAACCCGCCTCTTCATCAAAATTCCTAACAGCAAACTGAATAATTAACTGGTTGTTTCGAGCACGTTTGAGGCAATTCTCAAGAGCAGCGCAAAATTCTAATGTCTTTTTACTGTTGTCAAAGTATTCCTCAACCAAAGAAAACAAGTCGGGGTTTTTCCATATATCTCTCTGACGTTCCAAAATGATTTTCACCGCTTCCTCGTTGGTTTCAAGAAGACATCCGATAACCTGTTTGAGCGAGTCAAAAGATAAGGATCGAACATTCAAACGAGCAGCGAGTGTGCCAATGACATCGTTAGTGCGTCGATGGAGGGTGGCATCAAATTGCTGCAAAGTTGAATCCTTTCTACAAGCAGCCTCGTAGGAGCTCAAGTCTGATTCGAACAGAAAATCGGTCCTGCCTTGTGAAGATACTTCTGGACCACTTACTGTTTTGCTAGATTTGCATCCCATCATCATAGCTGATAAAGATTCAAATCGTGGTGGAGAAGATCTTTAAAACCCAGAAATAGTTTTCAAGTTTTAAGTAAAACCCAGTAATCAAGTAGAATCCTATTGGCCTACTTAAATGAAAACTTGATTTTTTTGAAGTGAAACAAAATAACAAAAGAAAAAAAAATAAAGCTTGGGTAAGATCTTAAAAACCCAGAGATTGTTTTCTAGTGTGGAGACTGGAGACCAATTAGATCGAGATGATAACAAACCAATTATCCCCAAAGGTTAAAAGGATGAACTTAAAGTACCTTAATTTCAGCTGAAAAGTGAAAGATTCGATGGTTTCTAGAGCCCTGATTTATCCTCACCTGAAATCCTTGGCAGATTGTAAAGATCGAAAACCAAAGTTGACCACAAACAAGCTATGATGTAGAACTTAAGGAACCATCTTGACACACAATTACTAGGAATGAGAGAGGAAAAAAGGGGGGTTATGAGAAGGAAACTGAGAGAAAAATAATTGTAAGACGGGAAAGATAAGAGGAATGAAGTCCAAGGTGTGTCTTTTCCCAACAACCATACATGTTGAAGGGTAACAGTAGAGTTTGATTTGTCTAGCGTTGTCAGAAAGAATGAAATAGAATTGGTAAAGCTTTAGGGCCAAAAGCCAGCCCAGTGACGTCTCGGAGCCTTCGAAGCTACTTCTCAAGGTGGTAGGAACTTCTTTTTGGACAAACTACCATATTGATTTTTTATTTCTTTCAAATTTCATATTTTAAATTCTATTATAAATATAAGGGTTAACTACTTCAAATATCATTTACCTTTAAGTGTGGGTTTGAAAATGTCACTCACATTTCAATTTTATTAATTTTAACACTGACATTTATGTTTAACTCTAATTATGTTATCCGTCGTTAACCTGTTAACGGGACGCTAACATGGCATCTTCTTGCCGTGATAGTGATGACATGGACGATTTCATTAAAGACATTTAATCCAAATAAGTTCCTTGTTGACATTTTAACAATTTATAAAATCTTAATTTGTAACCCTAACCCTAAATCCCAAATTCATTTATCTCATTCTCTTCTCTTCTCATCAACGACAGAAATTAAAAATCACAAGAGAAAGTTTGATGGTGAAAGAAGCATAATGAGACGGTGGATATCTGGGGCGTTTTTCCTGATATATCACCCATTGGTTTTATTTTTCCCTGTCAGACATCGTTCAGACTATATTTCCCGATCTAACACCCTTTGCAGTAAGACGTGCCCCCTGAAGTGCGCCTTATGTTGACATGGAATATACGTGTGTAATGTGCGGCCCTAGGGCGCGCCTTACGCCACATAGGGGTATAGCGCGGGGCAGGGGTCGCTTCTTACCTTTAACTGATACAATTATGTATGGCGCGGTGCAGATACCGCGCCTTGTATAATTATAGTAACTTTTATCGGCTATAAATACCTTCTCCCCCGTAAATTTCCTCACATCTTCCTCTCAACCTACAAATTAATATAACAATTCTCTCAAAGAGTAAATAATTTCGACAATCTTCTCATATTTGATTCAGAAGTTCGTGTGATTATTCGTTATAGGCTAATTTTGTTATAATTTTTTCCTTATTTTTTATTATGATTATTTGAAAAAATATTATACTAATTGTTTTCAATTAATTTCTGTGTTTGTAAAATTTGAAAGCGGGAGCATACGTCAGAATATTTTTGTGGTGCAGGTAATAATATAAAATTATATTATTTAAATTATTTACGTTTATGTGTAAAAAAATTATTGTGTTATATTTTCGTTCATATATTATTTATTTAATCAGGTTTGTTTCAATTATTTTTTTTGCAGATATAATATTGTCGCACTTTTAAACTCTAAGAATAGTGCGACTTTCAGCTATTGTTTATTATGATGGGGAAATTTGAGAAGATGAAATCGGCGTTGTTTTCGTATCAAATGAGTGTGTTAAAATATCATTCAAGAGAAACATAACTCTTGAGGAGATGATAACAAAGATTTCGAGGAAGGTTCATGTTGAAAGTAGTAGAAGAATGTCGTCGTTGCAGTACAGATTTCCAACATCATTGTTGTCATTAACTTATACAACATTCAAACTATCGAACAATGATGATGTTGAAATGATGGTTAATTCTCAAAGTAATTATTCAAACACCGATATTGAGATGTATGCAAAGTTTGTTTAAGTGTGTGTTGTTTGGGGTCAATCATTAAGCTCCCATTATGGGCTGGCTGAACAAGTTGATCAAGTTGACAGCCCGACTACAGTAATGTGTAATGATTTTAATGTCATAATGGGAAATCTGCATCATGGTATCATCACATCAACTTCAATGGGGAGACATTCATCAGCAACTCCTTAGGATATGTATCGAGGTGGGTCCACGAACAATCCATATGACAACACCGCGTCTCGTTCAATAGGAAGACATTCATCTGCAAATTTCTTTGACCTTAATATGGAGATGCCATCGACACAACAATCTGTGCAGTTTCTATTTGACACGATGGCTTCAAGCTCTAGGGGGAGGCATTCAACTGTGAGCTTTTTCGATCTCAATATCGATATGCCTTCTAGTTCAAGGGGAAGACGTGCAAGTAGTAGGTTCTTCGACCTAAATATGGAGAGCATGGAGGAACTATCATCTCTACCAGAAGAACCGCTTCGTGAGCCTGGTGTGGATGGTGCTAAGACTAGACTATTCATTAACCCAGAATCACCGCAATTCAAATCCGATGATGATGATAATGTAGATGAAGTTCCATCAAATGTGGCACAAAGTGACCCTCCAGCACACATGTATTAAGCTGATTATGGTGCAATGTACGGGCCATAATTTGCGGATATGCCTCATCTCGGTAACTATGGATATTACTCATCAATAAATAATGGTGAGTTATCTTTAGGCATGGAGTTTTCAAGCAAATAAGAAGCGATGATGGCCATAAAAAATACAATATTCGTAATTCTGTTCAATTGAGAGTCGACCGCTCCACGATAGAAAATATGTATGCTACTGTGTCCGACGTGAAAACGGATGCAATTGGATGGTTCGCGTATCGAATAGGAAGATGAAAAACAACAGATGGAAACTAACAGTATACAACGGTTATCACACATGTTGTGCTGGAGGGTCAACCAAGATCATCCCAACTTGGACTCTGAAGTGATATGTCAAGCCATCATGCCCATGGTAAAAGCAAGCTCTCGTATAGTTGTTGCTGTGTTGATTTCAGCTATACAATCGCAGTATGAGTACACTGTCTCCTATAAAAAAAGCTTGGTTGGAAAAACAAAATTCCATTGTCAAACTTCATGACGAATGGGATGCATCTTATAACGAACTTACAGGTTGGTTTAGGCTGGTACGGAGGTTGAATCCTGGGACAATTGTGGACTTCGAAACCTCTTATGCATACCATAATGATCGAGTTCTTCACGATCGATGTCAATTTTACCTGGTTTTTTGGACTTACCCACAGTGCGTTAATATTGTCAAATACTACAAGCATGTGGTCCAGATCGATGGGAGTTTCTTGTATGGAAAATACAAGCAAGTTTTATTATTGGCAGTTGTCCAAGATGACAATCGCAACATTCTTCTAGTGGCTTTTTCTCTTGTTGAAGGAGAATATACATATTCTTGGGCTTTCTTCCTCCGAAACTTACGTGCACATGTTATCATGAGGGAAAAATATGTGTCATTTCATATCATGGAGCTGGGATCAAAGCAGCAATGGAGTCTTTGGGTCCAATGTGGCAACCACCCTTTGTCCAACATAGGTATTGTCTCCGACACATTGCTGCAAACTACCATGGAAGGTACAAGAAGAATGATGAGCGTCAATTAATTGGGCGTATGGTTAAGTGAAACTGATGTAGTTTGTTTTCTTTTGATCATTTTAATTTTGTAAAGAAAGCAAGTTAGTAAGTTATACATTTTTTGATCAGGTTACGAACTACTTCCTCAAACGTTTGAATCAATGCTTCAAGATTTGCGGGCGAAAAACGAGGAAGGATACGATTACATCAACCTCATCGATAAAGAAATGTGGATGAACGCATATGATGGTAGATATCGATATGGACATATGACGACCAACTTGGCTGAGGCAATCAATTCAACCTTAAAGGGTGCACGGCACTTACCTGTAGCGACTTTGGTAAAAACTATATATTTTTTGTTTGGGGATGCTTTTTGTGAAGCTCGGGAGTACAAGCTCAAACCTGGATGCAAGGCGGTCATGTCTATCACCCTAAATTAGTTGCAGATCTACAAAAATAAATTGTTGCATCAAATGGAATGTCTGTAACAAGCTTCTCTAGAAGGCATGAAATGTTTCGTGTCACAGAGTTACCGCGACCTCTTCAAGGGATTGAAGATGTGTCGTTAAGAGTAAATCTACGGGGACAGAACGTACGACTGCGGGTTTTTTCAAGCTCTGAAGTATTCATGCTCTCATGTGATAGCAGCTTGCAGGCATACACGTCAAGACTATAACTGTTTTTTGGATCCCGTATACCTATTATCTGAAGTTTTTAAGGTATACGAATTTGAGTTCCCCCTATATGTAATGACAAAGACCCTGATGAGGTTCAGGATTAGCTTCCGATTGTACCAAATCTGACTTTATTGAGGGAGCATGGTCGTCCAAAATCCAATCGAATTCATTGTGATATGGATATTCGAGAAAGATCTAGACAAGATAGACGATGTGGGCATTGTAGAAACCCAAGACACACTAGAAAAACATGTCCACTTCTGTTGTCATCAAGAAACAATTGATTAGGAATTGATATAGTTGTTTATCAAATAATAATTCTTGTACTTTAAGTTGCATTTACTTAAAGTTAATGGCATTCGATAACCCTGATAAAGATTAAAAAAATGATATTGAACGTTGGCGTTATATGTGATTATAATAAAAGAGATAATAAGTGATAAACTGAAGAAAGTTATCAAACTCAATTATTAAATTTTATCAAACTAATAACAATTTGGTATTTGTATATAATTTTAAATACAACAAATTTACAATAAGCATTAAATAGTAAATGATAACCAAATTACAATAACTGATATTAAATGGTAATAAACAAAATTAACCAAAATACATTAACAAAAAGTCCAACAATATTAACAAAATAAATTAAAAAAATTAACCAAAATAAATTAACGAAATAAAGTAAGTATTAAATTATAAATAAAAAAATTACAATAAAAAATCCAATAAATAACTAAATACAAATATAATAAAAAAACAAAATCTATCGATGCCTGCGATACGAATGTGTTTCGCAGGGTGGTGATTGTCGGTCTCGAGGAGGATTTATTCGTATCACTGGTTGTGACTCCTCGCTATCATCACCATCGTCATCGTCGTCGTCATCTTCGTCGTCATCGCCGTGAGCAGCTGCATTTTGTTGATGAGGAGCTAATGACGATGAATCACCTCCAAAGAATAAGAACCCTAGAGGTGTATGACTGACTATCCCACCGGCCTGCGAAAACTGGGAAAACTCATAAAACCTAGACATCACTGAGTGTGAAAACTGTACAGGAAGTGTCTGTGCTGCGGCCATGG